TTCTTGATTCCATTAGAGCTTTTACTCCTCGGGCAAAGATCTGAAATGGAATGTAGAGATAAACTCGAGATCCCGTATGTTTGTAACTTTAACATGAATCTAACATTTGACATCCCCAATTTCACGGTCAGAAAAGACCGATTTATTTATGTTTTATTCGAAAATCAGAATACCTTTTAAAGAAAAGTATTGCGGAATTTTTTAACAAAAAATAAATATGATAAAAATTTATTAAAGCATTTCCAAAGAAATGCATTTCATTATATTAAAACCTTGGGATGTAATGTTCGATACAGATCAAAAGCATAAACAGAACAACATAGACCTTATAACATTTATTTATATTTACTGGCCTATAATCCATAATCCTTCATCAAGTCATCCAACTATGTTCTTATGCCACTGCCTGTAATACAAGAAACTGAGTGGGCCAGGCTTGGGAGTCTGGTGAGCACATAGGGTTTTCAACCCACAATAATAAGTTTATTAATTTCATCAAACCAAACAAACCCAATTACCTGTTCCCATTATCCACACTTTACGTCCTTAAAGCATCTAATATAAAGACCTAGCCTAAGGATTTTCATCGTGGGGTGACAACACTGCTTCGGGGGTTCCTCGGCAGTTTATGTTAAATAAGGCAACCATGAGGGGGATGGAGTACTGTTGGTGAACACTTAGTTCAAATAAACACCTACATGTTGCGAGCCTGCTAGCGTTCTACTGGACTGTCTAGAATAGTCTGTGGTCGTCATCTGTACTCCGCTAGATGACCGGATCATCATAAACATTGAGGTATCTCGTCATTTTATCACACATCATCTATTTCATCTACCCATGTTATACCCAACATTTTTGTAGAGATACAATACGTATACAATTTAAATCATTTAAAACATGTATAAAAATGTTTGTCCAGCATAGATATCAAGTACACAGATAATATGCACACATAGCATGTAATTTATATAAAATACTTCATATATATGTGTAAGATGAAAGTGACTATGCACTCACTTGTTAAAGTGGTGATTCCAAACCCGGGCAATGCTTCGCTTCTAACGATTCTATTTTCCTTCGACGAAACCTAGCATTATTATCGCTAAGTTTTAGTCTAATCTTTATTGCAACTAATTATTATTCTAGATTCATCATTAACTTAAAGTCTACTTTCATGATCTATCAAGTAAGGAACAACCATGTAGGATCATATCGGAGGTAGGGTCCGTTTGGTATACGAAATATACTGTTTGGAAATCCCACTTTAAACACCTCACCAAATCACAGCCTATACATCATTCCCGTAAGTAGATCAATCATTATAACAACTTTTAATCATTGATAAATCTTATTCATAGGTTCATAATAACGATATTATATTTAAACATAAGCTATATTTAAAGTAGGGTAGGCGTATCTCACTTACAGCGGGTTTTGCTAAAAAACGGGCTCTGCAGGAGCAAAGCTTCTGAGCTGAAAAGCTATTTTTCTCGGAGCTGTCGGGCACTCCGGAGCTTTCTTCTAGCGCTAGGGGAGTTTCCTATAGCTTTAGGGGGGTGCGAGGGGGGGGGGGGTTGGGAGGTTTAGAGAGAGTTTAGAGTGAGAAAGAAAGAGTGGAATGTGTGAGAAATGAAGGCACCTTCGCATGCTATTTATAGGCTGAAATACTGCTCAAATCTTTGAGTTGGGGCCTCCAACTCGTCGATTTGGTGCGACATGTCACCCTATGGTGGCAAGGCTTGGGGAGAAAGCAATGACCCAAATTCAACCACGTAACCCCTTCATAGCAGCATCCTGCCGACTTCTAAACCTTGTAACTTTCGCATAGCAGCTCTGTTTTCAACGTTTTTTATATCCACGCGTAGGTATTGACAATATCTACAGCTCTTCTTTTGACTATGTCGGCTAATTCTCAATGGATTTTAAATTTAACAGTATGAGAAGATTACACTGTTAAATGACCGTGTAAAATTCATAACTTCTGCATACAAACTCCATTTTCGTCTATCTTTTTATTGTTGAGCTCCTATTAATGATATATTCAATTTTCATTTAGGTTGCATCGGCCAAAAATCAATCGATCTGAAATTCGAATTTTGGGTTGTGTACTGCTACGCCAAATTTTAGAAAAATCATAACTTCCTCATACAAAGTCAGATTTGGGCATTCTTTTTATGCATGCTCTCGGTTTAACGTATACTATGACTTTTATTTAGATCTCTAAGGCTAAAAAGTAGTTTATCAAAAATTCACATTTTACGTTATACGGATGTCGTGCCGATTTAGCCATAAAATTTTGACAGATCTTAACTTCTTCGTTATAACTCAGATTTCGGCGTTCTTTATATTTCCGGAATCCTTGTCACGAACACTACTACTTTCTTCATAGATATTGGGTTTATCTACAATATGATTTTTGACTCTTATTTTCAGTCTTAATTTATTATATTTTATAAGTAAGTATAATGCACATAAAATCACATAATTCACATAATATTCAAATAATTCTTCTTTATTACTTCAAAGTGGGTTATAATGGTTGACAATCGCCTAGAGATCTTTGATTAGCCTCTTATTCTCATCCATTCTTAACTCTGAAATTGGAATTATGTCAGAAACTTCTCCCGTGAACTTCCTCAAATAACACACATGGAAAGTGTTATGGATACCATCTAGTTCTTCAGGTAGTTCTAACTTGTAAGCTTGGTTTCCAACACTCTGAAGAACTTTGAAGGGTCTAATAAACCTTGGACTCAACTTTCCTCTTTTTCTAAATCTTATAGGTCCCTTCCATGGTTAGACTTTAAGTGAAACCAAATCTCCAACTTCGAATGTCATCAGTCGTCTTTTCTTGTCAG